TTACAGCAGACCCCTGCTGAGACAGAGAACCAGAGTTTATAACGCTCTCCAATAATCCGCAACCCCAGAGGAACTTAGATTCATACTGTGTGGCCTAAAAAACGATTAACGTCCCTTTTGAAATCAAACTCTACAATGACGTGGCTTGAATTTCATGTTGCAAACGTTATTAAAGACAGTAGATATTAACAGTATCACTGAACAGTTGTACACACGTGTACAATGTGGGAATATTAATTGTGTTACCTGAGGATTCTTATTATGTTTTCTTTGTTCTGAGCATTCATACAATAAATGTTCATTAAACTGAATACAACTGAGTAAAAGGATAGTCCGTTTTTAAGTAAAACTGGTTTGCTGTTGTTGCCAGATCATGACCGCGGACAAACTTGAAGGTAGGACCTCGTCTCACATTCATCTATTCACACTCACCCGATGGCCAATTACTCCACCAACGGGAGCAATTTAGGGTTTAGTGTCTTGCTCAAGGACACTTGCCATGTGACAAGTAGGAGAAGGTCGGTATCAAACCCCCAAGCCTACGATTAATCATGACACACTCAACCTGAGCGGCAGACCCATTGGCTTTTTCTTAAATTATCCAACCATTATTTTGAAATGCAATCTAAAATGCTTTAGTCTTTCTTTTGGTCAGCGAACAAGACGGCTTAACGGGACTTTAAATTATCTCAAACATAATTTAAATAAAACCTATGCACAAAGCAAAAAAGGTATAACATAATTTATAAAAACTTTGACACGGAATCCATTTTGTTACACCACCAGACGTTGCTCTCCAATGGGTTGACTTGGTTTGTTTGCTTGCTCGTGTGCTTTCAAAGCACACATCTGTGACATATATTAGCGCTGTGAACATAATTGAAATGTGCCCAGGGGCCAAGGCATCATGTTCTGAAATCAGAAACGACCCCAAAGACGAGAGTCTGCCCGGGGGTCCTGGTGGAGGAGGCTGGTCTTGCGGGGTGAGAGGCAGGTGATTTATAGAAAGGTGAAGGAACATGAGGAGCGAAGTGGTGGGGGGAGAAAGGGGTCTGACATTTATCCACATGGGAATGTTGAAGGAGGGGGGGGCTTCAAATCAAGTAATCATAGGTTACCTCCACTGCTACCTTGGAGGTGCAATTCCATCCCCTCAGCAGAGACATACAAAGCACAGAGGGGGTATCAGGTGGCCTGGTCTGCCTTCCCCTGGTGAAAGCAAAGGCCTGGCTGACACCAACCCAACCAGCTACACCAGAAGAGGGCACACACACATGCATTCAGGATAGAAAAATCACATACATTCAGCACCTCTGGTCTCAGGATCCATTAAAAGGAACTTTTACCCTGTTTCCTACCCCTGAAGCCCCTGAATAACTTCAGAAAGTTACCAGAGTGGAAGGTGAAGGTGCAGAAATGCCAAAACAATCAAACCCTGCCAAGAGTACATACAAAGGAGTCCCGTTTCATAGACCTTGAGCTACGGCCCCATCCTCAAAAACAACCGTTCTCTGTCCGAGAAAAGTATTGTCGCCTGCAGAGTGGAATCTGTACCAAAAACAACTTGTGGCGAGCAATAAATCTGTCCGTAGGCTGATTTGTTCTGTAATATCAACATTGCAACACTATTAATACCAACACAATTACTCTGAGGACACTTAATCAGATGTGGTGTTGGAGCTATTCTGCAAGACAAATACATAATTTAACATTCAAGTGCTCACTGTGTACGCAAAACCACGCCTGCAGGTTCTGTGAAAAGGCCACTAATGAGAGCGTGAGTGTGTGTTAGACCAGGATGAGGAGGGTAATGTCAGGGGACTAATCAATCCGATGAGGGGATACAGGCTGCAGGGAAAGGCACAAAGGCCGCCAGCAACTTGCCCCACAGAGCAAGGAAGGAGAGCAAACACAAAGCGATCACATTTGTTCTTACAGTAAAGCGTAATTGACAAGAACACGCTTTACTGTAAGAACAAATGTGATCTTGGTTCAGTGATGCCTTTAGCGGATCAATACCAAAAGGTTCAGATTAAATCTATGAGTCCAATCAATAGTTGAATGGTAAATGAGGAGGGTCACAGGAGTAGGTGAAGGGTTGTCCTGTGTCCCAGACGACATCATTAAACCGTATAAAACACTCCCCAACACGTCATTAAACCCACTCAGCCTATTACTGCAAGGCCACTAGACCAAGCTGAGAAGGCAGCTTGACCTCGGACACATGTTAGGGACTCACTCTCTCACACTCACACACAAAGTAATAAATCGTAGCCCGGGGTCATCCAATGTCTGCTGGGACTGGCGGCTGGTCTTTATAATGCCATTCACAGTATACAGCTTAGAAATGATAGCCTTTACCACTTAATGTATCGTTCCATGAGCCAACAAAGCACATCTTATAACACAAGAGTCAAGAAAACAAACTGCTGATATATCAGGGTTACAGTGATTTATCACGTTGCCAATATTTGTGGCCAATATGATAAACATTTTAATTCTGGACCCACTGGAATTGTGTTTTTGCTTTGAACATAGTGTCTATATTGGTTTTTCCATGTGTCTTGGAGTTTCCCAACCACTGGATCGCTGTGGTATGAGGTCCCGTCTTTAAGAACTACTAGCTACTAAAATAATGACATTAGTGCAAGACTGACTGTCACTGTCACATGAGGGTTACGGCCCGTCCACACAGCAGCGTTAAAAAAATCTTCCAACGGTTCTGCCCATTCACTTTAAATGGGGTGACGTCACTTTGCCTCACTTTTCGCCGAACTGCATTGTGGGAAGCAAAGCGGAGATTTCCAGGCATCTTAGGCTTCAAAAGTTGAGCAATGTTCAACTTTTGAAGCTGAGGTGGAAGCGTCAGCCAATCAATCCTGTTTATGCAAATCTGACAGTACAAGCGCTAGCCAATCAAACCGCGTGTATGCTGGGAGAGACATGCCGCAGGTCATTTCCTCATATTCCAAAAAATGGAGGAGAAATTAATTATAGCGGTAGGCAATCACCCGGTGCTTTATGACCAGTCCCTATTTACCTACCGGGATACAAACCGGAGGAGCCAGGCATGGAGGGAGGTGGCAGAGACAGTGGTAGGTTTTCGCCTGTTTGGGGAGTTTATATCCAGTTTACTTCGGGCTTTTTTGCTTTGTATGTCGGGGGCGGGAGATTCATGTGATTGGTTGTTGTCGCGTTGCTCGCAAAAAATCCCCAAGCTTCAGATACGCCCACCTCCAAGATTTTTTTAACGCTGCTGTGTGGACGTACCGTTAGGCCTAAACGCTATTTCAGTGGATCTTCCAATCTGACAAACATAAAACCCAGAGGGAAAACTTTCTGGCATGATAATAATCTAATATAAAAGACATTGAACACAAAATTAACACCATTAACCAGGCACTGGCCTTACAAAAACATTGTCATTTCAGCTACTTGGTGTGTGCCACAATGGAAAATGCCAGAAGCAGCAGCTCAGAATCATGCACAAAAGACTACGATGGTTTAGGACATGATACAGGCCCGCCAGACTTAATTGCTTTATGACAGAACAAGTCCATTATCAAACGAGTATGGCATCCCCACCCCAGATAAAGAGGGGAGGCGGGGGAAAAGGTTGATAACTATATCTGAAAGGATGAAAGAGCCAACTATAATAGGATGTGGATCATTCAGGGGGGCTTTTGTTTTCAATTGGATATTGACTCTTATCTTGCTGACATTTTGGAGACAGTCTCCTGGTGACATTTAGGAGGCATCACAATTACAGCAGTCTCCTTTTGAGTTCCAACCAGCCAATTACAGATACAAATATTGCTATCCTGTCTGTTAATCTCTTCATGTCATGTCAGAGGGCACAGCACCACTTCGTGTGTGACTGTGTGTGTTTGTGCATGATGCTCAGCCTGCTGCGTGTGTGTCTGTGTGTGTGTTAAGAAATAGCTTACGTAGGGTATTTGCATTCCAGCGGCTGTTCTAACATGTTGTAAATACAAGGTGTTAAAAAAACATAGGAAGGGGGTGGTGGAAATCACTCAGACCCATTACAAGTGCCGCTGGGGGCAGGATGTAGGTTATCATAGATAAACAACTCAGTTCACCTGCAATCACAGTTGACACCAGCATGCTTGTTGTTCTTTATTTAAAACTGATAGGCTGCAACCACCAAAATATTAGTGTCTGATAGCAAGGACACATTTGTGTCAATGGATGTTTTGCATAATAGAAAAGTAACAAATTAGGTTTTAAGTTAGTGCACGTAACTTTCTACCAGATTATAACCAAGGCAAAGGCACAAATTCAAACTTTTGAGCATTTCAAGGCATTCTTTTACAAGGCATCTACATCTTAAAATTCTTACTGAATTTTGATGTGGGGTTTTATTCGCTTTATTCATCAACCAGGACTGAAGGCAATCTGCCTTGAGGTGGAGGTCTGACAGCACATAATGCATGACCATACACCACTCATACTCTACCTCACTTGCATGTAACAAATAAACCGTTCTAAAACCTTCAAAACCCCTATTTATTCCTAATTTAACGCCATACAACATGTATTACACATACACTTCCAATATAGCTGGCATGCAGGGACAAGTAGGGTAAAGAGTGCAAAACATAAACAAGTAAAAAAGTGAAATTGTAAAGTTATACCAATAACAACAATAACGGGCCATTGCCTCCCCACTTGCACAAGCATGTTGTCAAACAAGATACAAAAAAAAAAGAGAAAAAAAAAAGGATGAACGCACACACATTTTCCACTACAGTTTCTATTTTAACCACCTAAATTGCACTCTCTATTAAGGGGGAACTTTGCTGCTAGGTTTTTATGTCTGCATCTGCAATTCAAAGCAATGCATACAGCTGATAAGGACAAAAATAAAACAAAAACACTCTTTGAACCGGCCGTGCAAAATACCGTTCACGTTTTCCAAAACACCCTCACATGCAGTTTCAACTCCACTTGCAGCGTTTTAAAAACCAAAATGTTCTTACCTGGACTCTGGCTCAGAAGCAAAGTTATCAGGGAGCCCCACAGCAGCCGCGGCCAGCTGTGCATCTTGTACCCCGCTTTTCTCCTCTCGCTTCTCCGGGCTTCCCTTTCCCTTTCCCTCTTCTTCTTCTTCTTCTCCTTCTTCTCACAGTTAAATATCAACGGGCTTCTGTTGCAAGTGGACGCTCCGGATTTCACGCTAACCTCATACCATGACTGACTTTGTAGCCCCCTTTCTCTCCCCGACCTCCAACGCCTCCTTCCCTTGTGTGTGATAACGCAACAAAACCGGGATTAAAAAGTTAACTCTGAAGGGAACAGCCTGGCTGTGGTCTCCAACATGTTGTGCTCTAGTTCCTGACGTTGTAGCTACCAAAAGGAGCTGTGGGCTGTACCAAACGCAATATGGGGGGGAGCTAACTCTGTCTGACGCGGGTTATTTAGGCTAATTTATTAACAAATTAGCGTAAATAACATACATGTATCGCGTTCCGTGTTATAACATACAAAACAAATATTGAATGTCCTAAATCCCTTCATTTTATGGCATTTTATGTTCCTCGTCACACTACATACTTTCCTATCCCGCAATATATTGGCTCGCCCAAAATCTCTGCTCTCGTTGTCATTTCTTAAATTACAATGTATTTTTAAAATAAACTGGTGGTCAGTAAATCAAAGTATATTCATACAGTATCTGAATGCATGAGTTATTTGTTTGTGCTTCTTCCACAAAATGTATTTTAACCCTCTAAAGCTGCTTCCTTTTAACACAGTGTGGGTCAAAAAGAGAAGTAGAGGGGGGGGGGAATGCTTCTCTGATGCCACTTCAGTCAGTGGAGGCAAATGACAGTGGTTTTTTAGTGAGGGTGTAATGGGCATGGGATGATGTTATTACAAAGCCATTATTCGGTACCACAGATTTACAAAAAGTTACTGGAGGGATATTAAGTTGTATATTAAAATGTAATTAGGTCCTAAATGATCACTGTGGGCACATCATTTCTGTATTACAAAATGTTCCAAAAGGGATAATTAGAGTTACACAAGTATATGCATGTCGTTTAGACAAAAAAATCACTATAACAGCATTAATCACTATGACAGGCACATTGCAAAGTCCTTTAGGAATATAAAAGTGCTTCCATCAGACATAGAAAACAACCTTTAAGTACAATGAAGTCACTTTATGTTCCGTTATTAAGAATGGAGACACACTACAGCTTCTCATATAAACATAATGTTGACCAGGAATAATAGTACCACAACAGATACTATACACTGTATGTATACAGTTGGAAATAATGTGTTGTAAACCAAAATGTATTCTAAGTATGCTGGTATCAGGGTATGAGAGACCTAAAAAGTGCATTAGATCCCACAAAGTAATATTTGAAACATTTCAATGCTCATCAAAGCATGTTTTTATCAGTTTCATAATGTATAGGCACTAATAAACCCATAGATCATAAATAATGAACATGAACTAAATACTATAATAACAGCAGCACCAGTACAGTGTACCAAATCATGTCCTGTTAAGATAAAATCTAAACAAATGTATGAGTCCATCCCAAAAATGTGTATTTAAATGTATCATTGGTTCAGATTTAGAGAACATAATTGTTTTCTCTCCCTCAAAAGTGTTTCAGTGGGGGTTTTTTTGTATAAAGAAAATCTCGATAAATGTGATATATTCAATTCTAAAGTTGAGCCACCTTCAAACTTGGCCCCAAATTTGATACATAACAGATTTGTGGCAATGCTGAATCAGCACTTACAGTGACATTTGTGTGACTTTTGTGTCAGTTCAACCTGATATTCATTAAGTTCCTGCATGCCTGATTGTAGAGAGGGTTGTTGGCGGGCGTAACAAGAACAGGAGAACTGGCTGGGATGGCAGAGTTTGAGTGTATTGAGATGAAGGGTTGTTTTGGGGTAAAGCTTCAGTATGGGTGCAATGGAGAATGTGACTTCAATGTCTATGCAAAGATCGAAGATCAAAGGCTATACTATCCAAGTAAGCTTGCAGTGGTGCTGGTCAGGTAAAGAGCATGACATCATGGTAAGCCACGCAGGCGAATAACAACAAAATCTGATTTCACTAACCACATTTGGTCTGCAAAGTGAATGTTACAATTCTATAATGCTGATAAATATTGATTTGTTGTTGTCTTTGCTGCTAATATGCAACATTGTTAGCAATAGTCATTGTGGTAGGCTGGGCTGCTGTTCAGGTATTTTGTATGGCATACATTTGAAGGTTTGCTGTGATTTTTGCAAGACAAAAAGATGATTTATCATGGGATTGTTATAGTGAAATAATATCTATGTGTGGTATAATTTCAAGCGTACCATCTAATTTTCTGTCTTTATAAAATAACCAAATCACAAGTATGTGCACTGATCCACTGTAGACCATATATTAGGTCTCTCCTTTTACCCCCTGAAAGGAGGCTTAAAACCGCAACTTTCTAATTATAAGGAAGCTTCAGTTGGGGATGTGAGCTCTCTCGTCCCTAAACAGTACATTCATCATTCTGCACACGCTTCCCCTCCACTCTCCTGTGGAGCATCCATCAGAGTATTACATTTCATCCCAATAAAAGTGTTCTTCTTGTCACTTATTCATGATTGATATGGACCTTTTGAAAAAAAAAAAGGAAAAAGAATGCTCTGGACAAAGAACTGTAGCAGTCTTAGGAGAAATCAAAAAGAGCTAAACAATTTTCAGATGTATTATATATTTTTTTATTCAGCATACCTTTAGATTAAGGAATCACATATAAATGACGTATATGATATCGGTACAATAAGACATTTTAATGTTTTTTTAGGGAACACTGTAAGGCAATCATTGACAAAGGCATGATAACATCTGAGACCCTGAGCTCCTAACATAAGTATTTATAAATAGGAAATAAAAGGGTTAAACATCTGAAAGTAACAATTCTTAATATTTATATATTTTTGGCAACTGAATTTATTTATGGGAGGTTGTCACAGAGCTGAATCAACTAATATTTAAAAGGAACACCTAAGAACATGAAAGTCCCTCAAAAGTTTAGTTTGTCTTCTCTGGGCGCCATGTGGAAACATGATGAATCTTCTTCTGATGTCGATATAAAGGGCTGATTCTAAGCTAACAAAAACACAACGATTATTAGTTAAGGCGATTATACACTAATGAAAACATAGTTATGGAAATTATATGCCATTTCTGCCAATAGATCCCATTACATAATACACTTTAGCCGCGTTCACACCGGAGTACTTTTCACCGTACTTTTCGCGTTTAGTTCCGTTAGTACCCATGGATCTTAAACATGCACTTCTTAGTAACCATACCCTCCTATGAGAGAATTAAATGTGATATACATAAACATAATACTCTTTAACGCCAAAAGAGAAGCGAATAAAGTAAATTAGCTTTACATATGCCGTTTGCTGCGTTATGCTGCCAGTTTGCGGTGACTGAGTGGTAAGCTGATCCAGGATCAGGACCTGAACTCTGGGCAGCAGGCCCGGCTGCATTGTGAGTGGATAGCAGCTGTGGCCATTTCAGCTCCCATCTTGCCTATGGGTGAAGAGATGGAGACATTTAATTATAACCTGTGATTAATGTGTTCACAGCAGGCCAGGAGCCTGCCTGTACAGCGCAGAGAGCTTTCGTGCAGGACTTGTCCATCACAAAGCACTGAGAATGAGTTTGTGTGCTCTCGAGTACACATTATATCAACAATGTCACGTAAGAACCTTATCACTTAAAGTGAGAAAAGTCACACCATCGGCTCCCCTAACTTTGGTATCCTGGGTCTGGTATCTGACACCTTTTGGCCAGTGCAACATATGGTTGTCAGAAAAAAAAACTGAGTGTGATTGCGTGTGTGTGTGTGTGTGTGTGTGTGTGTGGTGTTGTGTGTGGTGGTGTGTGTGTTGTGTGTGTGATGTGATGTGTGGTGTGTGGTGTGTGTGTGTGTGTGTAGGTGTGTAGTGTGGTGTATGTGTGTGGTGTGTGTGTGCTGTGTGTGTGTATGGTAGTGTGTGTGTGTGTGTGTGTGTGTGTGTGTGTGTGTGTGTGTGTGTGTGTGTCTGTGTGTGTGTGTGTGTGTGTGTGTGTGTGTGTGTGTGTGTGTGTGTGCGCAGAGAGAACAGCTGTGGGCTTATCACTTTAGCTTCCGCTGATAAATAAAGAAACATCCTGGGAGATGAAGAGGCAGCTACAGATAAGGCATGTGTGTATGTGTATGTTTGTGTGTGTATTGTCAGTGTGAAATGCAGATATGACCTTCACTCACCACTTGTTTGTGTGGACATTCTTCTGTGAGATTACCACCGGATGTGATACATTTCCATAGCATCTCTCTTTCTCACACATACATACAAGTGCATGGACATTTATAGCCCTGTAACCTGAACCAGAAGTCACACATTTACATAAAATAGACACAGTAAAGTATGCCACGGAGACCACACCAGCTGTGTGGAACCATAGTGGTGGTTTTGCATGGTTTAAAACTATAAATATATGGTTTTACTTTACATTGTTGCCAGCCAGGGCATTGTACCCTACATCTGCCCAATGTCAGCTGGGATTGGCTTCAGCCCCCCTAAACCGTTATAGACAAGATGGACTTGATGTTACCAAGTTTTCAGACAGACTTTTTACATTCCAGACATTTTTACATTTCTTTGTTTCTATCTATTTTGGCGCATTTTGAAAATCAACAGAGAATATAAACCTGTTTGTGTAACTGCCCAATTGTTACAAAGTAGACATTGGTGGTGCATTCAAGGACATATTCACATCACTTGTTAAAAGTGATTGCTTTATAAAGCTATTACCTGTTGTCAGGAGAAAAAACACAAATATTGACACAAATATGGGATATTTATAAAATGTTTTCATATAATGAAATTGAAATCCATGTTTAAATCAGTTATGTACTGTATACATCCTTTTTAAATAAATTAACTCAACAATACTAAAGCCCCTAAATGATTAGAAAATCTGCTAATTTGCTGCTCCCCAGTGGCCCCCCAGTTTTCATGAGATTAATTATTAATATTAATAGCACACATTAGATTAATCTAGGCTTATTAATTAACTGTTTTCGCATGTTTAAATACAATTTGACAAAGCATCATGTGTAATGTGTAAGGAGTCACTAGCAATTACATTCAATTAACTTATCTTACAGGAAAACTCTTCAGTTTTATGGAAGTTTTTGGCTTCTTTGGCTACATTTCTTTTGGTTTGATGGCACATCTACTGTACTGTATGCTTCAGTCTCAGCCTTGTTTCAGCAACCAAGCTTGAATACA